CAACTCCAGTGATCGAACTGAACTCTGTCGAGGAGCACTCTAGAGAGAAGCGCCCGAGGGATGAGTCTGAGGCGCTGGATGTGTCTCCTCTGTGCGAGGTAAGAGAAGACACTCCTCTGAAGAGGAAAAAGAAGAAGAAGAAAACCACCTCCTCCTCGGAGGTTGGACCTCGTGGGACCCTGCCCACGAGTCATACTGACTTGGTGGACGACCCCGAAGCTCGAATGAGGGGGACGTCCGACGTGAAGATGCGGTTCAGAGTGGAACCGTCAAGCTCCAGGGTAAGGGACCAGGTGTCCCGCATCTCAGCTTCATGGTTGGACCGCTGCCTCCGAAGGGCATCCAAGTTCATAAGTGATCCTGGGTCCGTGCTGCAAAGGACCATTGACCACGCCGCCAAGGTAAGACCTGCTTCTGTATCTGCTTTTATTTTTACAACTTATAGCTCGATCTAACCTTTATGYGACTTGTCTTTGCAGGCGTTCATTGCTTCCATTCACTCGACAGTTATGATAAAGGCTGAGCTGGATGGAAGGGAGATCTTGGCAACCAGGGAGAGTGCAAACTCCTCTGCTACCCTAGAAGCTGCCACCACGATGAAGGGCGAACTACTGAAAGCTCGCTCCGAAGTGGAGACTCTAAAGGCCGAGGTGGAGGCCAAGGCTCTACTGCTGAAAAAAAAAGAAGAAAAGCACAAGGCCTACCTCCGAGCTGCTCACGCCATCACCAAGGGGTTGGAGAAGGAGAAATTTCAGCTCCTGAAGGAGAAGAACGACCTGGCTCAAGTTCTTGAGGAGAAGGACGCTTCGATAGGGCGCCTTACCATCGAGCTCAAGGAGGTGAAGGAACGCCTCACCAACGGAGCTCTCTTGGAGGAAGCTTTCAGGCAGCACCCTGACTTTGATGGGTTTGCCAAGGACTTTAACGATGCAGGCTTCAAATTTTTTATGAAAGGCATTGTTGATGACATGCGCTACCTCCAAATCGACCTCGACGATCTGAAGAAGAAGTATGCTGAGAAATAGGCTTCTGGGCCTAACAACACTTCAGGTCCTGCATCCCAGGTGGAAAAGTACGTCACAGAACTAGACTCTGACTATTCCGACTTGGAAGAAGACGATGCCCCTAGTCAGGAGCCYAATGAGGTCGGCACTACCCAAGAAGAAGTCCCTTCGCAACAGGGCGGATCCCAGGAGGTCAACCTTCTGGGCTCCCAAGGTGTGTTGTCTTCTCACCTCGGGAGTGGCTGAGCTTCTGAGCCTTTACTTTTTATTTTACCATTTGTACAAGTTTTTGGGCAGAGCTACTACGTATACAAGTCTTGGCTCTATCCCTTTATCAATGAAATCTTCCTTTCTCCATTTCCATTCTGCTCTTACTTTTCCTTTGAGTTTTTAATCTTACTTTCCTTGACCTTTCTTTTGTAAATTTGAACTCGTATACGAATAATTTCATCTCGCACCTCTAACTCGTAAGTTTAAAGGATTGAGTGTGGGAGGAACTATTTTCACATTGCACCTTTTACTTATGCTTATTTTAAAGGTTCGAATTTGAGAGTTTCCTCCACTGGTTTCTAATATTTCTCCTCGAACTTGGAAGTCCAACGGATAATATTAAACAATTTGAACTTTCTACATCGCACCTTTAACTTAGACGTTCAAAGGGTTGAATTTTAAGTCCATAATTAATACTCACATCGCACCTCGAACCCGTAGGCTTAGAGGATTGAATTTTATGAAATTATTTCGACATCGCTCCTCGAACCCATAGGTTTAGAGGATTGAATTTTTGCAAAATTTTTCCTCTGGTGATAATTACCTTGCCAGTTTTGAGWCGCATGGGAGTTATGGGAGTTCATGGCCCCCATTTAATTTCTGATCGAACTCAGAGTCGTGAAATTAAATAACTCCTTCGTTTATTAAAGTTCCATCCCTTGAAAAAATTTTACAAGTCCATTTCAGGACCATTTTGACATTTCAAGGGTAGTAGCGCTTTAAGTGTTCTGYGTTCCATAGATGCACAAGCACATTTCCTTCCAKATCGACCAGCATGTACGTTCCAGGTCGGATTATGCCTTTAACCTCGAACGGTCCCTCCCAACTTGGGTCAAGGGTGCCCACGTGACTCTGAATCTTCCTTAAGACCAAGTGTCYGACTTGGAAGCTTCGAGTTCGAACTCGGACGTTGTAATATCTGGYCATTCTATTATGATATTCTGCTAAGCGTAGCTGAGCCATTTCCCTTTTTTCTTCTAATAAATCAAGGTTAAGGAGTAGCTCTTCCTCGTTCYTTATTAGTTCGTACTACTCTACCCTGTCTGTTGGCATGCCGATCTCGACTGGGACAACAGCTTCAGAGCCAAAGGCCAGTGAGAATGGCATTTCGACGGTTGACTCTCTTGGGGTAGTCCGATATGACCACAGTACTTCGGGTAGCTCCTCGGCCCATCTCCCCTTTCTGGAGTCCAATCTCAGCTTGAGTCCAYACTTTATGATTTTGTTTATCGCTTCAACCTGCCCATTTGGTTTTGGATGCGCTGGGACGAGCTGAGATGACTTATATTCAACTTTCTGCAAAAGTCTTTGAATCTTGCGTTGTCGAACTGCTTTCCGTTGTCTGTCATAATGGCGTTCGGTATACCAAAACGGCATACGATGTTTGTCCATATGAACGATGTGACTCTGGGCTCTGTAATGTGGGTGAGTGCCTCGGCCTCGATCCACTTAGTGAAGTAGTCCACAGCGACAACAGCGAACTTGGTTTGTCCTTTTCCCAGGGGAAAAGGACAATGTCCACCCCCCACTGCGCGAATGGCCATGGGGCTGAGATGGGGGTGAGCAGTTCGGGAGGCTGATGGATGATGTTTGCGAAGCGTTGGCAGTTGTCACAAGTTTTCACAAACTGCTTCGCATCCTGATCGAGGGTGGGCCAATAATACCCTTGTCGAACCACTTTGGCCGATAATGATCTGGCTCYAGAGTGGTTCCCACACACTCMTTCATGAATTTCTTTAAGGATGTAATTCCCTTCTTCAAAAGTCACACACTTGAGTAGAGGTAGGGAGAATCCACGTCGGTATAATGCTCTGTCCCGAAGTATGAATCGAGCTGCTCTTCGTGCCATCATCTTGTGTTCTTTTGATTCTTGCGGCGGATTTCCTTTGATGTACTCCACAATTGGATCCATCCATGAGGACGTTGGCATATCAATATCCATCATGTCTGGTTCCAAAATTGAAGGATTATCCAAGATTTCGACCAGGACCGATCTCGCTAGATCGGTCTCGTATGGCAACGCCAATTTGGCTAAGGCATCTAAGTTTGAATTATCTAATCTCGGAACTTGATTCACCTCGTAAGTTTTGAACTGGGCGAGGTGCGATCTGACTTTACTTAAATACTTTTCCATCCGTGAGTCTTTTGTTTGATACTCCTCCTTGATTTGATTTGCCACTAACTGGGAGTCGCTGAAGACCTTAATGTGGGTGGCCCCCAGTCCTTTGGCAATGCGGAGTCCTGCTAGAAGCGCTTCGTACTCGGCCTCATTATTTGAAGTCAGGAAGTTGAATCRCAGGGCATACTCGAACTGCACACCGCCTGATGCGAGCAAGAGGATTCCTGCTCCACACCCTCTCTCGTTGGAAGATCCGTCAACGTAGATTGTCCACGGGAGGTCAGGCTCAGCAGACAGAGACAGCGGAGTAAGCTCTGCGATGAAGTCTGCGACTGCTTGCCCCTTTAACGCAGTTCTGGGCTCGAACTAGATGTCGTACTCGCTTAACTTCATTGCCCACTTCATCAGGCGTCCTAATGTTTCTGGCTTATGAAAGATGTTCTTCAGGGGCAAGTTGGTAAGCACTACAATGGTGTGTGCTTGGAAATATGGCCTAAGTCTTTGGGCCGAGGTGACCAAAGCGAGGGCCAGCTTCTCCATTTGTGGGTACCTGGTCTCGGCCTCGGTCATGGCCTTACTCGTGTAATAAACGGGACTTTGGCATACTCTCTCCTGTTTAATTAGGGACGAGCTGACGGCGCTGTCAGACACCGTCAGGTACAAGTGGAGCTTGTCTCCCGGCAATGGCTTAGCGAGCAGAGGTGCCGAGCAGAGATAGTTCTTTAATTGTTCCAGTGCTTGCTCGCACTCTGTCGTCCATTCAAATGGTCCCTTCTTTCTTAGGACTTTGAAGAAAGGAAGGCACTTATCTGTTGACCTCGAGACGAATCTATTCAGAGCTGCAATCCTTCCATTGARACATTGGAGCTGCTTTAGTGTTTTGGGTGCTTCCATCTCGAGCATGGCCTTTATCTTCTCTGGGTTAGCTTCGATCCCACGGTTATTTACCATGAAGCCCAAAAACTTAGCCGAGGAGACTCCAAAGGCACACTTGGCTGGATTAAGCTTCATTTGATACTTTCGCAGTACTTCGAAGTTTTCGGTCAGGTCGAAAAGATGCGACTTTGACTGCTTGCTCTCGACAAGCATGTCGTCCACATACACTTCCATGTTCCGACCGATCTGCTTGGCGAACATCTTGTTCACCATTCTTTGATAGGTCRCACCTGCGTTTTTTAGGCCGAAGGGCATAACCTTATAGCAGCACAGACCTTGGTCTSTGATGAATRCAGTATGATCTTGATCTGGCACATGCATTTTAATTTGGTTGTATCYGGAGTAGGCATCCATGAAGGTAAGCAGCTCGTGCCCGRCTGTTGCATCTACGAGCTAGTCGATCCTTGGCAGTGGAAAACAATCTTTTGGGCATGCCCTATTTAAATTTGTAAAATCTWCGCACATTCTCCACTTCCCGTTAGCTTTTTTGACTAATACCACATTAGAAAGCCACTCGGGATACATAATTTCTCTTATATATTCAGCTTTTAAAAATTTGTTTACTTCCTCAACAATTACACCACTCCTCTCCTTATTTACATGTCTTCTATTTTGCTTTACAGGTCGGAATGATGGATCTATGTTGAGGCGATGCACCATGATCCTTGGGTCTATGCCAGGCATGTCCTCGTGGGACCATGCAAAAACGTCCGAGTTGGACCTGAGGAAGTTGATCAGTTCTTCCCTCTCAGTAGTCCCCAGCTTGGTTCCTATGCTTACTTGCTTCTCAGGACTAAGTAAAGGAACAAGCTCGAGCTCCTCCGTTGGTGCAAAGAACTCCCTTCTTCCTTCCCTTGGTAGGTCGGCTTCTAAGCTTTGCTCTCCAACTCGTTCGACTTGTTTCTC